AAATTAATAACCTGAGAGGAAAATCCTACCTCCTTGGCACTAGCACAGATTTTGTTATCAAACACTGTGTGTGTCAGCCATGGGGAAATCTTAGACTGGACTTTTTAGCTTTCTTAAAATAAACTTTGGCTACTTCTTTGTCTAGAACTTAGGTCCAACAATGTGGGAGGTGATTTGAAAATTTTAAGAGAGTTTGAATAATGCATAGATTTTATTTTATTTTTTTTACACAGTCTAAAACTGATATTCACAAATCTGGTAATGTAAAAAGTATTATTTATGTTTATCCAGAAAGATCTGCTTGTTTTAACTCTGTTGAGAAATGGCAAAAACCTGAACAACAAAGAAACGGTTTTGCATCTAATGATTATTTGGCAAATTAGAATATAAAATACTAACAATGGGCCTAAATCTGCACTTTGACAAATAGAAAACCCCACTCGCGGTAATAATTCCTACCCATACTCCCCACGCTGCTGTCGGGGAAGTGGAGGCAGGCTTGTGATCCAGAAGAAAATGCTCTCTCCCCTTGCATGTGGTGCCTCCAGATTTGCAACTGGCTTATTGTTTATTACTTCAGGAAAAACTGGCTCTTTATGTATTCAGTGATTAATGGGGCTTGACCTGATAAACACTAAAAAATCCACACAGGGGGCTGAATGAGGAGGAGAGGTGAAAGTAGAAATTTGTTCATATGGTTTTCTGTTGGTGTGACCTGAGTAGGGGGCCTTAGTCCTAGAGAATATGAATAAGTAGCATTTTGTTTTTATATGAAAGGGTTGCTGCTGCTCATCTGTTTGCTCCTCCCAAGCACGTCCCCATTCACATCGTTGTTTTCATGGTAGCAAAACTATTGTAGGGGGCAGAAGAGGTGTGAGTTCCATGAGCCCTACCTTGCAAGATGCTGACCATTTCAAGATGCGGGATGCTTTAAGGAGCTTAGTACGGTCAATACCCATTAATTTAATTGGAACTGAGGACCTTGGCAAGCGGTACTCAGCACTTAGCAAGATTGGGCCTGTGCGGAGCAAGCCTGTGCGGGAGATGGATTTTACTTTTTGTGCGAGCTTGCATGCACACTGGAGCATAATTCTCCTTCTCACCCACTTAAACCCCAAAGATTGATTCCAATAATGCTTATTTAACTGTTTCCATCTTAATCATTAATTTACATATTTTATAAATTTATATTGAAAAGGTATGGAAGTAGCTGATGGTAAGGAGAGGTATCATGTTCTGTGTCTACAGGAGACAATGGACAGGGAACGCAGCAAAGGAGTTGGGCTTAGATTGCAAACTTTTCCATGTGGGTGACAAAAGGGGGCATAGCGGAATCAGGGTGCTTGTTAGAGGAGAGCTGAAGAAGATGGTGTTTGAAAATTACTGGAGTAAGTGACAGACTGATGGCTGTATGAGTCCAAGTTAAAGAGTGAGTCATGTTTGTGATATTAGCATATGCACCTCAACAAGGATGTGATGAGGAAGAAAAGTCTCCTCCAAGACTGACAGGCACTAGTGGACACAGCAGCCCCTGTGGGGCTGGGAGATCTGAATGCACACACAGCCAGAAACAGATGGTGCTGTGAAATGTGTTAGGGAAATGCAGTCTATGCACTATAAATGAGGAAGGGAAAGTGCTACTAGACATTTGTATTGCCACCCAATGGATGATAATCCATACCTGGTTCCAAAAGAGAGTGAATCATTTGTTTACATACATCAGTGGTGGAAACCAAAGCCAAATTGATATGATGTTGATAAGGAAATCTCAGAGGAATTGAGTTGTGGACTGCAAAGTGATACCTAACGAGACGGTAGCACTGAACACAAACCTCTTGTGGCAGACATTCCAGAAGAGTGTTGGACAAGGAGGAACTAAGCTCAAAAGAAACAAGATTAAAGTACGGGAGTTAAGGGGAAGTCCGTCAGAGAAGTTTGTGCAAGCAGTACAGGATAAATGTCTGGCTGAAAAGGAGTGGAACCACCTCAAAAGAACAGAGATTGTGCGGTGGAAGAGGTTTATGGACAATACAGATCAGGAAAAGGCAGGGAAGGAAAGGAGTAGTGATGGATTAAAGACATGCAAGTAGCAATCTGAAAAAAGAAAATGGTATGTAAAGAAAAATAAATGAATACATTGAGAGTAAATGAAAATAATACAAAGAAGCAAAGTGAGCTGCCAAGCAGGCAGTGAAGAAGGTCAAAGAGAGTGCCCTAGATGATTTGTATGGCAACCTTGTAAACAACCTCCAGATGGCTGGCAAAAATACGTATAGCATTGCAAAAATAAGATGCAGAGGGAAGGAGGATGGTATTATAACACCATTTGTAAATGATGATTGGGGAGACTGCTAGAAAACACATGAACAAGTGAAGTTGATGTGGAAAAAATACTTTGAGAGTCTCTTAAATGAGGCTAACCCTTTTAGGGCAGAGTTGCCAACATGTGGTACCTGAGCTTGACATAGCAGAAGAGATGAGAAATGCAGCCCAGGAAATGAAAAACGGTAAGGTGGTGACAAAGGACCTGGTGAAAGTCTTGGGTTAGAGAGGCATAAGATGGATGAGCAGAGTGGTTAAAGCTGCATGGCGAGACAAGAGAATTCTCAAAGACTGGTGCAAGTCTATCTGGGTCCCAATCCAGAAGAGGGAAACCATCCATGAATGTGGAAACTACCAAGGGATAAAGCTATTGTTACATGAGATGAAGATACTGGGACACATCTTGGATGCTAGGATTAGGGCAATGGGGAACCCCTCCGTGAACAAGAACAGTTTGGCTTTAGGAAAAGATGAGGAACTACAGGTCCCGTGTTTGTAGTAGAGATAGGCAAGGGATAGAGAAGCAGCTAGAGTACCAACAGGACAGCTTCTGGGCTTTTATAAACGTAGGAAACTCATACAATAAAGTAGGATTGGAAATAAAGTAGACAGAAGAATTCTGACACCAGTTTTGAGGAAATATGCAGTGTCAGAGGATTTAATAACTATGGTGAATGCCCTATACTGATCACCTAAAACAGTGATCCGAAAAGCTTTTGAAATGACAAGTCCCTTTGAAAGTGGTTGGTTATAAGGCTACTGCTGTTTATCATATTGATGGACTATATAAGCAGGAAGATCCCAATGGGAAAAGGGGAGAAGCTGCTATATGCAGATGACACAGCAAGAAGGGCACCCACAAAGAAGACCTAGTAGAAATAGCAAGCCAGTCGTATGACCATCTAAACTGGCACGACATGAAAATGAACATGAATAATACTGAGGACCTGTGGGTCATTTGAGGTGCCTCAGGGAAATGAACATAGAGATTAACGAGTAGACTGACTAGTTCAAGTGCTTTAACAACTGGGTCATGGAAGATGATGAGTTTGAACATGAGTGGGGAGTGTGTGGAATAACATCTCCAGGTTTGTATATGATAAGCATATGCCACTGAGACTAAAAGCCTAACCGTATGGAACAATGTTGCACCCTGCAATGTTTATGATGCAGAAGCATAGACGATAAACAGATCATAGGTTCAACACCTATAGTTGTTTTGAGATTAGATGTCTTTGCACCATAAGAGGAGTTACACGAAGAGACACATTTCAAAATGAAAGTATTAGGATGGAAGTCAAAATCCATGATGTGGCTGACAAAATCCAGGAAGTGTGACTTCACTGGTTTGGACACAGGCAGAGGATGAATGAAGGGGACCTGGTGAAAATAGCATGGCAGGTGAGGGTGGTAGAAAGAGACCCTGAGGAAAGCCAAGGAAGCAATGGTTGGATTGCATCAAAGAAGATGGAAAGCAGGTGAATTTTAGTGCTGCCTTGGACAGATGAAGATGGTGGATGCTTGCATGGAGGCAACCCCAGTTGATGGGATAAGCAGAAGAAGATATTTTATATAGTATCCAATTCACCTTCACAAGCAGCTGTTTTGTTTAGCATCTCATCACTATTATTTCCACAAAGTTAATTATACATATTACTTAAATAATATTACATCTTAAAGAACCTCCATAAAGACCAATGTGGAGTTAGAAAGAGTTTTATAGATGGCATAATGCCTAATCACAATAATATTTAAAAACCCAAACATTTCCACAGAACAACTCTAGAACACAAAGTTCTAGAACACACTTCTTATGGGATTAAATACTGTAACTTGACTTTGATTCTATCCTCTATAGGACTTAAAATCTGCTTTTTTGCACTCAGGAACATTGTGGCTACTTGATTTTAGTGTAAATAAATAGATCTTCATACTTCATACTGAATCATAACAATTTGGCTTACAAGGCAATTTTCACCATGCCCCTTTTCATGGCCTCCAACTTGGGGGCCAAATACTGATTGTCTCACTCAGATAGTCCTACAGACAAAATTGATCCCTGGTGTAACTTCAGTTAAATCAATGTCTCCACTGAAGTCAGTTTGACTTCAATAGGATTACTGTATTTATGAGACTAAAGTGATTTGGCCCTTATGTTGGATTTTTTCCTTGAGAAAATCCTTTTCTTTACCAATAGGACAGAATATTAGCTAACACTAGCAAGCAATGTGGGGGGAAACTGCCATAAAACATACATGGATGGTTTAATATCTCTTAGGATATTTTTCATCAAGATGTATTTCAGAATTAATGTTTTTAGTTTAGCTCAACATATCATGTCCAGCAAAAATGAACTCAGGTTTCTTTACATTTTGTAATACAAATTGTCTAATTTCCATAGAAAAGAGACTCTCTTTATTAGTATGTGAGTCTCAGAGTGATCCCTCTATATTACTGAGGATTGTGTTGGTATTCCAAAAGAGATTTTGTATCTCTCTCTTCTCTTGAAGCCAGAGAGGTTCTGCTAAAGTCCTTTTAGCAGTTAGGTATTGCCCTCTACTGGTGAATACTCCCAGTTAACACTATTGAATGGAAGACCAATAAAGATGGTTACATTAGACATAATATAATAGATTCAGCTTCACCTAACAAACTGTGTTAATTTTTTTTCTCTACAGCAAATGATGTAACTTCCAGATCATCAGTTGAAAAATCTTCAGAAACCATATCTGGTAAGCAAATCACTAACTGTAACATTCTGATTTATTGCAAATTCATGGCAGATAAGTGTCTGCCTCATGATAATTAAAGTAATGCAAAGAAGCTACTGTGTAAATAAGTTCCTATATTTCATCAGTCTAGTTTTATTTTTTCATAAGAATAAAATTGTATGTACCATCTAGACAAACTCTTCTATTCTTAGTGGAATCACTCCAGTTTAGCAGTAACTCTCTCAGGAATGGAATGATTGGCAAGTTGCCTGGCCAATAGCCTTTGACAGCCCACTAAATAGTGAATAATTTGTGGGGGATGGAAGGGAAGGTGAAGACAACATGGAGATTTCCTCCCACCTCCCACCACACAAACACAGCTGGTAGAAATACCAAAAACACATTTCAAGTTGTTCAGGGGATAAACATCATCCATAAAAATATTATTTATAGCAGAATGTGGGTGGACAAAATTGATACACAAGCACACAGCTAGCTATTTAATGTTTAACACTTTATTGAAACATTTTTGGCATCTGTTACTTTTTAAATAGAAATAATTTTATATACATATGCATTTTTATTACAAAAGACAGCCTTGCTGTGCAGAACTGGTCCCCATCTGCCACATTTCCAATCAATTGAATGCCCATGCTAAACAAAATGCTGTAGCTAAGGCCAAGGTGCAATTTCCATACGAATGCATCATTTATTGGTTGCTCACAGAATATCCCCTGTCCCACTGCCAGCTGGACAATATCTATTAGCAACGTACACCAGTTCTAATCCCTGCTTTTGAGTTCCTCAATTGTTCTATAAAATTAATTGTAATCATAATAGTCCATCAGAATCCTTATAGTTTGTGCCTAGCTGTTAATCCCATGAGCAAGGAGTAGCGGTGTACTGTACAAGTGATTTTGTAAGATGGTAGGCCAAAATAAATTTATTTCCAAAATAATCTAACCTATGAATCAGAAGCTTTTTTTCCTCCTTTGCATCATGAAATAGGTTGCTTATGCCTTGTGTGCAATTCTCTCTTAACTGATGTAATCGTTATTTTTTAGTACATTTATCATGTTTGTTTCTTTGATGACAATTGCCTTCTTAGCAACACTTTGGAAAACATAGTACTGGTCTTTTCTGACAGATTGACAAGCAGTTGTTGTATAGAGCCCTTCGAAGTTGTCACTGAGGTGTCACATGGTGCAGCTGAGCTAGGCTGCCCTCCGAACACTATTTACTTCTACACTATATTGTGTGGAAATACTTTTAAAATGTGTGTGTTCATGAATAAGCTTTTGCATACATCCCTGATTTAAAAAAAAAAACATTTCTGCATTTCTGTTTCATGGCTTGTATTAATATAATTTTATTTTGTTTCATGTATATAGCTGAAGTATTTATTAACATCCTTTTTCATTTGTTATCAAACACAGCTAATTTAAGGTACAATAAACAATCCATATTACGTATAGTTTGCCACAATCCAGTATCACTGGGAATCTTTTTTTCAAAATTGTCACACGGCTATACTGGCAGGGCCGTATTCTGCAATAAAATAGTGGTGGGGAAATTAATTGCTACTGGCCAGACTCATCTCTCTCTTTTATGAGTAGTAAACAAAACCAAGGACAAAATTATCAAAAGAGCTCAGCTACTAATAACTTCAATTCAGGCACTTAATCAGAGGCCAGGTGTTTAAAAGTGCTCAACATCTATTGTTCTGAATGTCAGCTGCTGGGTACTGAATATTTTTGAAAATGTGGCTATTTCTAGGTACTTAAATTGGATCTTGAGCTCTTGTATTCTGTCCTGAGTTATAGGTGATGAGCAATTGAAAATCTGGTCCCAGATTCTTACAAAAAAATGAAAGCACTAATTTTAAGCCTCTTCCCCAACCTTCTTCCCCTTTGGCAGAATCAGCTATTGGTACTTTTATCACTTACTCTATCAATGCTTCGGGCAAGATTTTATTAACATATCTGATATCTAGATATATCTACCCTAAATTTTGCCTTTTTATTTTATTTTTTTATTATTGTTTATTATTATTGTTATATTTCTTTCACAGATGCAACTTCATTAGAAAAGACAAGCACTTCAGGTGAGAATTATTCTACCCACTATGAACCGTAGAATTGGGGACAAATTCAGACCTGATGTAAGCAGACAAAACTCCATTATGTTCAGTGAGGTTTTGTGCATTTTTAACCAGTGCTGAATTTTGCCTTAGGACATTTTTTCAAAACCTCAAAATATTTTGTTGTTATTTTATTTATTATTTGTATTACCATAGCATTAGGAGCCTGGGTCAAGGACCAGGACCTCACTTTGCTAGCAGCAATTTAGCAATTCCGTAGTTATGATTACATTGTAATTTGGCGATGTGAGAATGAAGGATTCGCTTTTTAAAAGCTCCTGAGTAATGTCCACACTGCATTTGGAAGCTAGCATAGATTTGTGCTAGCGGGGCTAGCTCTAGTGAGCTAAAAATAACCTGGGCTCCAGCCCAAGTCACAATGTCAAAGGAATGTCTACACAGCTATTTTTAGGGTTCTAACATGAGTCTGTAGACCTGAACTGGGAGGTTTGCTCCCAGATGTGGTGTAAACATACTCTGAGTGACTTAGGAACATAATTCATCATAGGAAAGATGGAATGGACAGTTTAGAACGGATGGAAAAATAATAAAGAGCCTTTCACCTCTAGATCCCTGGTTCCGATCTGACCTACATGAGTAATGTTAAAAGGACATTATCATGTCATGGAGGGGAGGGATAGCTCAGTGGTTTGAGCATTGGCCTGCTAAACCCAGGATTGTGAGTTCAATCCTTGAGGGGGCCATTTAGGGATCTGGGGCAAAAATCTATCTGGGGATTGGTCCTGCTTTGAGCAGGGGGTTGGACTAGATGACCTCCTGAGGTCCCTTCCAACCCTGATAGTCTATGATTCTATGATGTGACTGCCATGCCCTGGCCTATGTGACTTCTTTCTGACAATCAAATAGATCATAAACATCACTTCAGTTTGCTGTGATTGACATCCTTCTTGGCAGCATCAGTGTAGGCCAAGGATTGAACTGGTAAAGAGATTGAACAAGCCTGTCTCACTTGCAGTGGCGGATTAGCAACTGAGCCTATGGGGCCTGTGCCCAGGGGCCCTAGCCAATTGGGGGTCCCGGAACCGGCCACCAGGCAGGCAGGGAGGGGAAAGCCCCCGACCCCACTCCCCGGCAGACGCCTGAGGGCAGTGGAAGAACCCCCTAGCATTCCCTGATTCCCTGACCCTGGCAGAAGCCAGGGGGCAGCGGGAAAAACCCCAGCACTGAGACCCCCGCTGCAGCCCTAGGACTGGAGAAGTTCTCGCTATTGGTCATGGCCTCAGGGCTGGGGGAGCTTTGACTCCCTGCTGTGGTCTGGGGCTGTGGCAGGGGGACAGAGCTTTTCTGGTCTTGGGGCCGCAGTGAGGGGGGCAGAAAGTAGCAAACAGGTTGTGGGGGGGTGGAATGGAGGGGACCCTGAGTGGAACAGGGGTGGGCCCCAGGGAAAGGACAGAAAGGGGTGGGGCCATGTGTAGGGCTGAAGGTGGAAGGGGTGGGGAGGGCCCCCCCCCCTCTTGCTGTGGCACAGGGCCCCAGGAAACCTTAGTCCATCTCTGCTCACCTGCTGGTGGTCCCACAAATGTAGCAGTGTATCTGTTCTGAGAATAAAGGGAATAAAGGGAAGACTTCACTTACCATGGCTGGCAACACACAATTCTTCCAAGTACCAAACAACTGTAAAAATAATCTCACCATAGTCACACTTGTAATTAATAGAACCTACCCTAGCTGGTTGACAGTGAGAGATGCCTTTTGCATATACTGAAGCTATTAGTTTGACATCGCTCGATCATTTACAGATGTCTGTCATGTTTTGAGACCTGAAGAAATGCTCTGTGTAATTCAAAAGTTTGTCTCTCTCACTAGCAGAAGGTGGTCCAGTCAAAGATATTGCCTCACCCACCTTGTCTCTCTAATGTTTTGTAATGTGGGTTGGGCCTCTTTTTTTTACTTTACCAGAGGATAATAAATGCCAGAGATTTTTGACACTGGTTAGAGGAGTCATATTAGAAGCTGAAGAAACAAAGACTGTTTTTATGGAGGTGGCTCTATACTGTAAATAATACTTTAGGTAAAATGGGGAACAAAATATATGCCATCCCAAGTTATGGAATTATTGTATTTTGGGTTGTGCTCCATTGCCAGATGACATTAGAAGAAACTTTGTTTGAGGAGAGAAGCAAAGGTGGAAGTGTGGCTTTAGGTACAGGTGTCGGATTAGCTTCCTCAGAAATTAGCAGAATATAACATCTAAAAAGAATATTTGACCCATTTTGTAACAACAGTTTAATGCATAAGGATATATTCTGCCCTTTCCAGCAAATTGCAGAACAATTCCCATTTAGTGTACAAAATTATATTTTATAGAAATGACATATTATGAAATTACTGTAATCATCCATAGAAATTTTTTTTACCTAGCATGAAGTATCTGCACTTGAAATAAGGTACCAAAGATGCCTGGGAAAGTGCATTTGTTGTAATATTAAATTAATATTCTATTAAAACAAAACAAAACTTCCCTTCCAGAATGTTAAGTGAGTTGCCCGAGTTAAACCAAACAGACTCATGATCATTTTTGCATACAATTTTTTTTGCATTTCTTAATTTGTCTTAGAAAATATATATGTTTTTCCTCTCTTTCGTAATCCTTAAATGTAGATGATATAGGGCCTGATTTTCCTCCCAATTACATCTATTTTAACTCTACGTCTTCATTGTAGTTTTACACATGTAAAGGGAGATTCAAGCCAAGAATGCCTAGGATGGGAAATAGACTAAACAGTGGCCAAGAATCTCTCTATTAAGAGAATAAAAATGTCTGAGAATTCCTGCCCATTGAGAGTTAATCAGGGACAAATATAGAGCAAAACAAGTTTTCTTTGTGATTGTGTTGAGATGACTCTTATAAACAGAGTATGTGCATTTTATTGTTAGCATTGAGGGGCATTTCCTTTTCTTCCTTGAATTTCAGGTTACAATGCCAAAAAAACCTGACTCAGACCTGTAATTCATAGTTAAAAGCCATGAGTAATAGAGTGAGAATTTTTTTGGCCATAATTCAAGTAGAAGTATCATGACTCACTGGTTTTATCTCCAACTGATAGGAAAGAACTGTAGAGGTTTTTTTTCTTTTTAAATTAAAAGAAAAATCAGTCAAATAGAATGTATATTAATGTATACATGCCATAGAATCTGACTTGCAAATTTCAAGCATGCTCTCCACTCTGTGGTATACCCCCACCAGGCTTTGAGGTTGAATTTGTTAATAGTTCTGTAATAGATCTTATAGTAGTTTCATGGGTCTTCCCACTAAGTGGTATTACAGTTCAATAGATGGGAATCAGGTTTGTTTCTGTGATGACAAATCACCTTGTTAGGAAGCCCTTCAGAAAAAATCATAGTACTGGTGTCTACTGACACTTTGACAAGCAGTTGTGTAGAACCCTTCAAAGTAGTCATTGAGATATCACAAGTTGTACCTGAGCTACATTGTTCTCTGAGCTACATTGCCCTTTGAACACTATTTACTCTTGTATTGCAATGTGGGGAAAGACATTTTAACTGTGTGCATTGAAGAATAAGTTGCTGCATACATTCCCGATTTTTCCCCTGCATTTCTTTGTTCCTGCTTGTATTGATACAATTTTCTTTTGTTTCATGTATGTAGTTGAAACATTTTTACATCCTTTTTCATTTTTAGCAAAACCAGCTAATTTGAAACAAAATAGATAATTCATATTACTTACAGTTTTCTATATTTCAATAAAATTGATGATCTTTGCTCAGCAAAGTCACAGGACTAGACTAGCAGGGCTGTCACAGCTCAAGGTTGAGTTGAAACAGAAGAAAGGTGAGAAGTTCATTGCTACTGGCCAGACAGTACCAGACTAATCTCTGTCTTTCATGAGTATTAAAAACATCAAGGGCAAAATTTTCAAAAGAACTCAGTTACCAGCATCTCCCATTCAGTAACTCATTCAGATTTTCAAGATTCAACACCCATTGTTCTCAATCTATACTCAGTATTTTTAAAAACCTGGCTACCTTTTTTTAGGTGCTTAAATTGTAGGTTTAGCTTTTTGAAATTCTGCCCCCATTTACTGGTCTTGAGAGTTTGAAACTCTGGCCCTGACATTCTTAGAAAAAAATAAATGAATAAAGCACTAACTTTATGTTTGTCTATTTTCTTTTCTTTTTTTCCCAGCAGAATCCTCTATTGTTACTTTTATCACCTACCCCATTAATGCTTCAGGCAAGAAATTAATATTTCTCATATCTAGATCTATTTAGCTTAAGTTTTACTTTTTATTTTGTCATTTTTATAATTTTTTATATTCTGGTATTTTTCAGCTACAAGTTCAGATACAAGCACTGCAGGTGAGAATTATATGTATTACACAAGTAAAAACTGTAGAATTAAGGCCAAATTCAGATGCGGTGTAAGCAGACAAAACTCCACTGTGTTCAGTAGGTTTGTGCTTGTTTAAACCAGGGCTAAATTTGGCCAACTTTGAAAAAAAGGTTCATTATACTGGCTGTTTAGCCACGGCACAGTTAATGTTGCATTGGCTGAGTTTTTAAAAAAAACTGTTAAATTGATATTTTACAGTTATCCAAAATATACTCCTTTCCCTTTCAGCCAGGACTTTAAGTGTGTTGCCAAAGCCAAACCATACAGGTACATGCTTCTTTTTATGGAGGTTTTTTTTATTTTCATTTGTATGTTAGAAAATATTTAGGGATATTGGTTCTGTTTGAAAAGCGAATTCAGTGAGCTTGCTAAAACTACTTAAAATATTTTTGAATTATTATTAAATATCCAACACATTCATTATTCACATTTGTATTGTGTCCACTACTGTGGTATATGGGCACACATTTCATAGTTTAAATTTTGTCAGTAATGTTCCAGACAAGAGGGGCATAATTTACCCACTCTCCTGATCTCTGAACTTAGAGACAGATGAGCTAATTCTCCTTTTACTTGCAAAAGTTTGATTCTGAAGTAACTCAATCATCTTTTATAAGAAGTTATTATGGATTAATGCTAGTGCAAACAGGAGGAGAGTCTGAAATAAAAATGGGAAAGAGACCTGGCAGCTCATTTAAGTGACCAGTATTATATAGGCTTGTTATCAGAAATTTTTATATTTAAATAATTGATTTTTTCTACAGAAACTACTAATATCCCTGAATTTAACTTCTCCACAACAGTAGGTAAGGCTTTATATATATATATAAGCATGGTTTATGAGCTGTGGGAGTCTATGTTCTAATATTTTGAATATTATTTTTTTACTATTGTATTTCGCATTAGCAATCAGTCTTACTGTGGGTTGAGTTCATATGATTTCATTGTGTATATCAGGGGTCAGCAACATTCGGCACGCTGCTCGCCAGGGTAAGCACCCTGGCGGGCCGGGCCAGTTTTATTTACCTGCTGACG